AACACTTGGCGACCGTCGCCAGTTCTTCGGCAAGCTATAAACCTGCTATAACGGTACACCGGTTCTGCAATCCGTCTTCCTGCCATACATTTAACTTCTCGCTCGATGCTATTTCATTGCGTGCTCCGCTCTCAGAACTTTGGATGTCGTATGTTTACTGATACAAAGAAGGCTGAGAAAACTACTACTGTATAATGTAATTATACTACTGTAATGTAATTATACTACTGTATAATGACTGCTATGAATAGTGGTTCATGTATAAAATAAGAGCACTGTATAGTGTGTGTGCTTAATACTGTCTATTGTATGCGTTAGTAGATATTTAGAATGCTAAACATTCAACACATTTTTTAGGAAATCAAAAAATCTTCATAAGCTTATATTTCAATATAGTTTGAAAAATTTCAATAATGTGAGCTGTATACGATGGTCCTACACAAGTGATTGAGCCCTGGATCACTCCACTAGCAGCGTTGCAGTCGCCACCCTAACAAAATTTAGAGTCGCCCCAGCTTCTGGTATCCCAAATCAGAAGCTGCCGCGTCTGTAAATTTTCACTGGGTGCAGGCTCTCATCACCGTCTTTATCGTGGACACAAGCGATGCCTGATTATATGCATCATATTCATGTATTTGCAGGTATTCAATGAATCTTTATGCGGCTAAGAAATGTGATTTGTATTCTTCCTCTTCCTTAAGATGTATTTGCAAAGAAATCCTGATTTACGTCCCTCAACGATTATTTTATTATGACCTATTTTGTTTCTGTGATATAATATACATGATAAAACGCTGTGTAAAAAAAAAGAAGATAAAACGCTGTGCTTTACTTCATGTGAATGTTAAGTAACCGTTAGTTAACCTTCGTGTCTGGTTTTGAATATAATTTATCTTGTTTATAAGTTTCATCTATGGTTATAACTATAAGAAGGTAATGGAAATGCTGCCAACAGGAGAACAATAAATTTTTGAAAAAAATGTCTTGAGCAATACTCTGCACTGCAGACATAGCTTTAGCTCAAAGTTATCCATCATACTTCATTTATCCTTGAGCAGTCGTTAGGTTACTCAACTCTGTCTCAGAAATTCGCGTCATGTGCACAATGAAGACATCGCTTTGATGAGTACACTGGGCGTGGGCCGTACATATTGTGTCACTGGAGAGCACAATTTAGGAGCCGTAGAGCACTCAGTGGTCTCAGCACTTCAGTAAATCTCAGCGATAAGTCGAGAGCAGAGACCTGACCAGCGTCAGGCTGACAACTAAACTTGCCTTGACCAGCGTCAGGCTGACAACTAAACTTGCCTTGACCAGCGTCAGGCTGACAACTAAACTTGCCTTGGTGTCGCACTTGAAGCTCTCATTGCAATGTTGCTGCTGTGGCCGCGTGTTCAGCGACTACTTAACTTCCTAGCTTGCAAATATACGAGCTCGACGTAATCTCGCGTGGTGCTTCGTGTTCTTTTTATTGCGTTGTTCACCGAGCATCCAATTAGTTGAGGTAGATTTGTGCACTTCGGTGCTTCCGAGGCAGGAGTTTGGTTCAATTGCTTTATTCGAGGACTGTTGGTCTCTCGATTTATCATGTAGGGAGAAAGAATTTCTCCTCTAAATTTAGTTTTCCTACTTAATTCTTCTTCCTAAAGACTTTATTATGCTGGATTCTTTCTCTTCACGTACGTGGTATATATTTTAATGAGTCTTTCTTCTCCATTGATACTCTTTCCTGTATGGTCCTTCTCCTATACTTCGGATGCGACCTTCCTTCATTATTGCAACTGTAAAATATATTTTACAGAATATGGGATAAGCTTTTTTGCCATGGACGATGTATTCGTTTTTACTTTACTTTTTTTTGTGTGAAGAATATTCATTTTTTAGGCCAGCAATACAGTGATATTTTTGCCTTTGTTTGTTACGCATAAGTTATTTGATTCAGTCTAATATAACGAAATAGTACTACTAGTATTATTATTTTCTTGTGTGACGAGACGTTCTCTTTCATATCGGCGTAGACATTCGTTAACCATGAATAGTTCAGACCCTGCAGTTTGCAAGAATGGCACCGTCTATTAAAATTTCGAAATTCAAACTGTTTCCTAACTTTCTGAGTACGACGGACGGATCATATTTGCCTACTGTTATAATTTTGGGATTTTTGGTGAACGTTTTGGTATGTAACGCAGATAAGAACAAGTGATGGCCGGTGCTGGAACATATCTGACACCTGCGCATGATGCGCGGTGCAGCAGGCCGTGTGAGGCGCGGTGCAGCAGGCCGTGTGAGGCGCGGTGCAGCAGGCCGTGTGAGGCAGGCGCCGTATTAACATGTCGGAGGTGGCAGACATTCAACTTGCTGAGCTCGTCCGACTCCTAAATCCTCCTATCAAACGAACGCCGACTAATAAACTTACCTTCCCCCTCCCCTTCCTCTCTCCCCTTCCTCTCTCCCCTTCCTCTCTCCCCTTCCTCTCTCCCCTTCCTATCTCCCCTCCTCTCTCCAGTTTCCCCTTCTCCTCCCACTCCCTCCCCATTGCTGCAGCTTCTCTATATCGCTTGGTTCAACTTTTCTATGTATTATATATACCAACAACACCGAAAACCTGTTGGCATCATTAACATCACCAACGCCACCCAATAACCTGCTAACATCACTAATATCACCAACAACATGCACACATCACCATCATCACCAACAATAGGAAGAGCTTTTCGTGTCTCGTGTATCAATCGAGACACTAGTGATGTTTAATGCACCTTGTTGCTGACGCTTGATTGCTTCATAAGTAAAACTTTTATTTATTGCAGTAATAACTCGAGTTTCTTTTCAACACTTACATCTATTTCCATTTCTGAAGCTTTGGCTTTGACGCTTCACTTGGTAACTATGAATTGTGCTGCGTGAAATACCACTCAAAAACTCCTTAAAACGAATCTATATACATTTTCTGAACATCGTGGACTTAATGTCTTGGTTTATCTTACACTAAAATTATTATTCAACTCTGTCTATATTATTCGATGCATAATTTATCCCTCTTCGACTTGTAACGCAATAATCTTTTATTACAAATACTTCTCTTTTTGCAGACCCGCTGCATGCTGTTGAGGTTCTCTGTTTGCTAAAATTTACGCTTGGTTTGGGTGCACGAACTGGTTTAAACTTAAACTCCATCCCTGCATGCTATCACACCAGCACAGCTGCTTCTAACTTACTGATAACTACCAGCAATAATCGACACTCAATCAACGGATGTTTGACGCACGAGCTTCTGACGAGGCGCTCAATTTCAACAAAGATTGAGCGACGTTGCAACTCAAACTTCAATCGAAGAGCGCGAAAATTACCTTGAGATCATCGGAAGAAGTTAATGTAAATCCCGCAATTACTTAAGATTCTTATTGCTGTGAAATAGAGACGATGGACTTGCCTGAAGGCTGGCACGCAGGCTGCCGAGAACGGCGCCGAGATACTAGTGTAATGGCCGAAATTGAAGCAATTGATGCCTGATAAGAGTTGAGCTAGAGGAGCTATGCAGCAGTCACAAACACTTGAGCATGTCTGGGGGGCTTTTGAAAAACAAGCTTGCTGTGATGGATCACTTCCCGACCCTACTGATCAGGACGATTGTGTGATAGCGATCACTCGAACCTTCCAGTTTACGGGACCACTGACAAGCCGTTCATGCCGACACGGCCACTTTATTCTGCAACGAAACTTGATCCCAAAAGGGAAAAATTTGTTTTTTCTTGACCCTGACTGGAAAATTTTGTTTTAACTTGACCTTTACCTGGGAGAGTGTATTTTAACCTGACCCTAGTTTGGATAGTGTGTTTCAACTTTACCAGAACTGGGGTAGTTTGTTTGAACTTGATCTCAACTGGGGAAAGATTTTTTAACTTGATTCTAACTGGGAAAGTTTGTTTCACCTAAACCCTACCTGGGAAAGTGTGTGTTTTACCTTGACCACAACTTAGAAATTTTATATAAACTTGCTCCCCATTTTGTGAAAGTTTCTTTTAAATATTAAATTTATGTTGAAGCATTTCGCCAAGCCAGAAAAATATTGGCCTTAGGAGCTAACTCGATCGCATTTCACTTCAGAAAAGTTGACCGAAAGCGTCGGATCGCTATATGTTGATTCAATTCAGTAAGCAATCTTTGCACCCTATAGCTATCCTATATAGCTTCGCGTACTTGATTCAATCTTCTTATCGCATTTGTTTTCGGCATCGTTTGAATATTCTAATGATCGCACTATAACTGATGTCTTCGACGTTGTACTCAGTGATTTAGTATTAAGAAATATTCCCTTATAATATTTTGACTATTTTTCGTTGTTCTGATTACCCTTTCGTATTCGGTAGGATATTTCCTACATTTCTGCCGTTATCGCCTAGAGATTTTTCAACGCCTTTTTTTTATTTATATCTTGCGCTGAATTCTGAGCATTTTAGAGGCCAAAGTAAAGTGATTCTTCATTTCTCACCAGGAATTCATTTTTTCGGGAATGCTCAAGACTTCAAAATCAGCATTAAGTGTGTAGAGCGCATTGCGATTCCCTTATGTTAGGTGGTATAGAGGAAACCAAATTCTTGTAATGTACCGACATTAGATGGTTCGTTGTTCATTAAATCTAGTTCCGACAGGTGGTAGGCTCGAACAACTTCAATTTGTGTCGGCTACAAATTTTCTGTCGTTATAAAAGCAAATTGAATTAGGATGTGTAGCTATCAAACGAGGGGTAGCTTACTAGGTTTTTAATAGAAATTAATAAATGAAATGTTTTGGAGCATCCTATATCTTTTTTTGTATGCGCCGTTTCCAGTGCAGGCAATTTTTTTGTAGAAAAGTTTATTATTAGCGAATAATAAGCTACCGCCCATTGAACCGCTATCATAGAACCGCTGGATGTGCAAGCGTCAGCGTTGAAGTGATCCTTCATCTTAAATAAGGTGATAATTACATAGCCAAATCCATGAAAAAATCTACCCCAATTATAAAGGATGGAATCCCTTGAAGAAATTTAATGGTAGGAAATTGATGACTTCCGCCATGGCGACGGATGCCTCATTTATAGAGGGAGGGGTGAAGCGATATCCCTTAGGGGGATGAGGGGTGAAGCGATATCCCTTAAGGGGATGAGGGGTGAAGCGATATCCACTAGCGGGATGAGGGGTGAAGAGATATGCCTTAGCGGGATGAGGGGTGAAGCGATATCCACTAGCGGGATATGAAGCGAAATCCACTAGCGGGATGAGGGGTGAAGAGATATCCCATAGCGGGATGAGGGGTGAAGCGATATCCCTTAGCGGGATGAGGGGTGAAGAGATATCCCATAGTGGGATGAGGGGTGAAGCGATATCCTCTATAGGGATGGGGGTGAAGAGATATCCACTAGCGGGATAAGGGTGAAGTGATATCCTCTATCGGGATGAGGGGTGAAGAGATATCCCAAAGGGGGATGGGGGTGAAGCGATATCCCTTAGCGGGATGGATCGAGAATAATCCAGCCTAATGAAGGATGACTGAAAAAGCTGGAATTTACCTACCTTTTCCCAATTAAAAAAATTCGGCGTAAATTTCATGGTGAGCAATTATTGTAAATAATTATGTTTTATCAACAGCATATGAAATTCTTAAGCCTCATTACTTTAACTTTCATTGGAATTTTCATTATCTTATTTATTAATCATTAAACTCTAAGTAATTAAGTTAATGAACACATTATTTAATTAGCGTAAAATAAAGAAGTTACGAGCAAGCTTGCCTAGTCGTGCCCCAGATAAATAATTATCCCAAATCACGTTAAGAAAAAGAAAATTAACCAATACGCAAGAATACAGGCCGTTTAAACTTTCATTTTGCTCTGAAGTCCCTTTTGACTTTCGTCTCAAAATATGAAAGAAATTATTTGTATATTGTGTCTTCTCGAAGTCTTACATTTGTACAATTTGAAGACAAATTTCAAATTTTGGACCAGTTCTTTACTCGCAGTTTTACAATATTAATGGAAACACACGTATCAGGCCACACAACATCGTGAGGGATGTTGGTGGTATGAAGGAATGCTGAGGAGTATGTATGCGGGGATGTTGGTGGTATGAAGGAATTACGAGGAATGTTGTTAGGATCTCACCGGCGCCCCGCTGTTGTATGCGGCGACACGCACGGCGCCCGCCGAACATGTGAAGCGGTACCGTGTCGTGGCGGTACCGTGTCGTGGGGGTACCGTGTCGTGGCGGTACCGTGTCGTGGCGGTACCGTGTCGTGGCGGTACCGTGTCGTGGTGGTACCGTGCCTTAGCGTAATAATTAATCTCAACATAAATAACTAAGTCTTGATTCAACCAATCAACAACCGTCATTAATTAGTTTAATTATTAATTTTAAATGTGCACTTGTCGACCTTGCATGTGCAAGGTCGAAACTACCCTCAGCAAGCGACAAGCAACAGCATCTTGCATCAGCGTGCCCAAATGAGGGCAAATAGACGGAACACGTCCAACGTTACATCCGACGACGACTCGGAGACGGAGGACGACGAAGGCGGCGCATCAGCGTGGCCTTGGACTAGGAAGTCCCGAACTCATCATAAGGTCATAAGGTAAGGTCATGTGAAACATGATGTCGTAGAACTAACTATCATCATGGAAGTCTTGCGAGTTCGTTGCCTTGACGCAGCGCTGTCACCATATCAAAACCGGGCGCCTTGAGTGGAGATAACAGAGCATTGCTTATCGGATAAGGTGGCACGGGGGGGAGAGGGGAGTGCTCAGCAAGAGGGGAACCAAGGGGGAGAAGAGGGTAGGGGAGGAATATGTGGGTTGGGGTAGCAGGGGGACGGGTAGGGTAGAGCGAGGCTGTGGGTAGAGCAGGACAGGGTGACGGATAGAGCAGGACAGGCCGGGGGACGGTAGAGCAGGGCAGATCAGGGGTATGGGTAGAGCAGGACTGAGCAGGGTAGGGGTATGAGTAGAGCAGGACAGGGGAATGGGTAGAGCAGGACAGGGAGGCGGGTAGAGCAGAGCAGGACAAAGCAGGGTATGGGCAGAGCAGGACAGGGCAGGGTATGGGGCAGAGCAGGCCAGGGAAGAGCAGGCCAGGGCCGAGCAGGACAAAGCAGGGTAGGGGCAGAGCAGGGCAGAGGTAGAGCATTAAAGAAATATAACCTACTGCCCTAAAACCTTCCGTAAAAAAAGTTAAAGAAATATAACTTACTGCCCTAAAACCTTCCGTAAAAAAAGTTAAAAAATATAACTTACTGCCCTAAAACCTTGAATAAAGTCAAAGAAATAATGTAACTAAAAAAGCTCAATTGAAGTCGCGCTGACACCGAAGCGTGGACAGCTTCACGCTGAGCTGACAGGCGCTGACACTCGCAGCTGACAGCGTCATACTCGCCTACACGCCTACACGCTGCCCGCGACTTGTGCTTTGACTGTACCCACAACCTACACGCTGCCCGCGACTTGTGCTTTGACTGTACCCACAACCTACACGCTGCCCGCGACTTGAGCTTTGACTGTACCCACAACCTACACGCTGCCCGCGACTTGTGTTTTGACTGTACCCACAACCTACACGCTGCCTGCGACTTGTGTTTTGACTGTACCCACAACTGGGCACGTATACTGGGGTACTGCGGGCATCAGGAACTGTGCAGGGGCATGTGGAGTAATGGCATGGAAAAGATGTGCATTCCATTACATGGAATAATGGAATATAATGACGTGGAATGAAATGGTTAATTAGTCATATGGAATTAAGGAATGGTATGGGTTTTTGGTCATATGGAAGTTTGGCATGGAAAAGAAAAGGAAATTGTGCATATGGAATAATTAAATGAAATGAAATAGGCAATCTGTCGTATGGAATAATGACTTAGATGGATAATTACAGATAATGTTATATAACACACTCATTCGCTTCCTCATCTTCTACGTATATTGAAGAAGAGAAGTACGTTTGAAGTACGTATCCTACGTACCTCTAAGTAATTTTGATTTTGGTGCAGGTCAGTGCGGTCAATCTAGGGTCAACGGTGGGTGAGGTGTGACCTTCAACCTACACCACCAACACCAACACCACCAACACCCACACCACCAACACCCACACCACCAACACCCACACCACCAACACCAACACCACCAACACCCACACCACCAACACCCACACCACCAACACCCACACCACCAACACCCACACCACCAATACCAACACTCACACCACCAACACCCATACAACACTCGTTGTGTTAACACCCGCCGACGTGTCGAGTCGTGCGTGTGTTGCGAGATGCGTGCGATAAACAAGGCTGAGCTTCGCTAAACGTCAACAGCCGCGCTAAGAAGGACGACAAGGAGTGATAACAGTGTTATCTGCACCTAACGTCACCCCCCACGGGGCGCGTGATGGGGGGATTAGGACAAACTGGGACACTCGGTGCGGCTGAGACACGTGGGATGGCTGGGACTCAGGCATGGCTGGGACACTCAGCATTGCGGGACACATGACATGGATGGGGCACATGGGATGGTTGGGACACACGGTATGGTTGAGACACACGGTACGGTTGGGACACACGGCATGGTTGGGACACACGGCATGGCAATCCCACATAGTACGGTTGGGACACAAGGTATGGTTGGGACACACGGTAAGGTTGGGACACGTGGCTCGACCGGGACTCCGGCACGTGTGCGTGGGACACGGGACAGCCCCCAGCTATGTGTTCAAGTAGAGGATGACCGCTCGCTAATTACCCGCTATTTTCGTGCGCATGCAGGCTGCTGTATACAAATCGGGTCACTGCATGTGTTCACACCACGCATGAGTACATCACACATCTGTTACGCATGAGTACATCACACATTCATGGGTTACGCTTGTAAACATCACACGTGGGTTCATGCCCACTTCATCCGGCTCCCACCAATTTCTCCTTGTATGTTTGGCGAACGTTTTCATTGAAAAATTTGATTAATATTTCTCAAAGAAATGAAAAATTTTTCTCGAAAATTTGGAAATTTTCTAATAAATTCTTGTACATTTATTTTCCTCTCTTTGTATGTTGAGGATGAAATATTGGGCTTGCAGGATGCCATAGAGAATGTCTATACTTTTAATTGGAAGTCTTCTAACTTTATAAGGGAAATTTACTGATACTACTTTTTGAATGCATGCCTATAATGAATGGTCTAACCCGGGGTCTCCAATCCTTCAACTCCAAATTCCAACCATATATATGAGGAGTATATAAGGAATTCTAATTTCTTAAGACCCCATTCTTTCTAACTGTGCTGGCAACATCAGTGTAGATAGGCAGCTCTTTCTCTCATTGGTCTAGCATCTTTTACAATTTCTTCCAGAATGAAACAATGTCTTCTCCGGTATGATCTGTAGATTCCTCACTAACTCTTTTAACACAATAACTTCAAAATTTATCATCTCTTCGGGTTTTATGTCGTTCAATTTTTTACATCCAGCCTCTGCCATCTTTAATATGTTTGAACGATTCTTATGAAGATGGATCCTAATTTTATTCAATAATTGAACGAATAATCCAATTATTCATGATACTGAATTAATCAATGACGGCTATTTACACACAGACTTTGCCTCTTCAAATGAAGGTAAAACAAACTAAAATAAGTTATTTTTAAATTGTGATACATTTATTTACAAAAAAAAATTAGGATTGGTCTCAACTAAAAAATATATCTGTTTCAGTAAAAGTAAAATTCTAATCAAGTTAAAATTTTGAAATTTTTTTATATGGCCCGGTTTTTATGTAAGCCACGCGCTTAACGCACTTCAATGCAGTTTTTTGATCACATTAAATAAAGAGAACTTATACTGTCCCTCGATTATGATATTGTATGTTTGTGTTAGTTCTCCACGTTTGTGTGAAACTTTATTATGTAAGTCTGTTCAAATTTATTCTTTTCATTAATTTTGATTTTTTTTATTTGTGCAGGTAAGTTTCTCAATCACCTGGGCAAAGGCAGGTGAGTGTTTTGCAGCCCTCGTGAAATTACAACGGAAATCAGAGAACAAAACCGCAGATTTTCCTGCTCTTTTTGATATTATGTACCGATAGCAAAAATAGTTGTCATTGTCATATTATAATAAATATTATGAGCGCTTTCACTCCGTGGTGCCGCCGCTTTTGTACCATAGACCTCACGGTGTTAATTCTATATGCAGCTGCCCCTCGTTAATCCAATAACAATTATCCACTAAAGAATTTATAGATTATTCGACCGCAAATCTCATAAGCGCATTCGTTGTTAATCCGACCTTCACCAACCGTCCTTTGACACTACCGGATACACTGACGAAATGTTTAAGCTGAACCACCGCCGCTGTTCTGAATACACTGAGGAAAGTTGGAGCTGAACCACCGCCGCTGTTCCGAGTACACTGAGGAAAGTTGGAGCTGAACCACTGCCGCTGTCCCGGATACGCTGATACAGCTGTTCCGGATACACTGAGGAAAGTTGGAGCTGAACCACCGCCGCTGTTCCGGATACACTGAGGAAAGTTGGAGCTGAACCACCGCCGCTGTTCTGAATGCCCCAAGAGTTCATCGGAGTAGTACTCAAGATTCTATGCTGCTTAGACATTAAGAATTTTATATGATAATATATTTAATTGTTATCAATTGTTTCGCGCAATTGCCGTAGAGTTGCAGCGGCGTTGTAGGCTATACCCCACCGTAAGCTGTGCATTCAAATTTTCGACCATTTTCGCGGTAATCCCAAGTTCTTTTATGATGAAACTGAGTCATAAATTCAAAGCATTTGGTCGCACGGCACACGGAATTCGCGGGTGGGTTTACGATGTCACAAATGCTGTTGAGTATCTCACCTCCGGTGACCACACAATAGCCGCATTGCACTGCGATATGAACGAATAATTGTAGCTTTTGTCCTCCATAATGAGGGACGTTAAGTCCAGAACCTGAGCCCTGTTTCAAACGAAATATTTCTATGGGCTTCTCACGTACATCAACTTGCGTATGCTTACCTTAATTATTAAACGAATACGCGTATACAGGAAATATGCTATTAGTTACGCTCGTACCAATAACGTTATACAGCATTTATTTGACCCCTCGAACACTCATCCCAATCGATGATGTTTTTATGCTAGAAACTCGTTATGAGATCAAATATTTTCACAAAATAAAGTAACGCTTTCTTCAAATTTCAATCAAAGATATACAGTGCCTGTCATTTACAGTCGGCACAAATGAATGAATCTCATACAGCACAGTCTCCGTTATTCACACATGCGCCTGTATGTGGTGCGCAGCTGTTACGAATTTTTCGTGTTCGTCGTCGTGTGTGGAGAGGATTTTACCGAAAGCGCTTGCGATAATATCGTCTTTTTGTGCGATGAAGGTAAACAAGCTTTGTGCTTAGCGGTACCTCTTGTGCTGCTCTGTCCTACCTTTTGCTGCTTTTGTTATGTAGGACCTTTCTCCTCCACATCCTTCTCTCTCTCTCCCCGTGCCCCCACATATGTGTTTCTCATAAAGATCTTTTGACAACTACTTTTTTTTTCTTCGCTCGTATTTTCTTATTCAAAATTTTAGCCAGACCATCGGCGGCCGCTCACCAACATATGTGTTTCTCATAAAGATCTTTTGACAACTACTCTTTTTTTCTCTTCGCTCGTATTTTCTTCTTCAAAATTGGAGCCAGACCATCGCCGGCCGCTCATCGGCCACCGATATATCGCTTGTAATTTTAAAGGCTGACCTCTTCCTGCCACCCACGTAGGCTGGGAACAATAAATGCGCTGCCAGCTGAACGCCATGACGTCATAAAGGCACACATTACGGTTACCTTGGTAGACTTATAAGCGTCTCTGTAACTGAAATATCTTCACCTTAACTTTACGGTTTCTGATTATTAAGAATTCGATCAAGTAAATCTCAACTTTCAATATTGCCTGGCATTACCTCGCCCATTTAGAGTGAATGTATAGTGGGAGTTTTTCAGTATTTGACTGGGTAAAAAATGCAAAAAGATGCACATTCCTAATTTCAATTGCTTACTAGTCATACTTGCTGTTTATTTCATTTGCGTGTTTGGGTTCTTGTACAATTTATGGTGAATTCATATTCATAAATCACAACTGTCTCGAAT